GCAGGAACAGTCAGGGGATTTCTAAATGAACTGACATGACTATGTTTACAGCAGAAGTTTTTCAATGGTCCGTGGTTGTTTAGGTCCCTTGCCTGCTGCTTACTGTTTAAATGAAGGCAGTGAAATCAGACCAGAGTTTAATGTTGATGAAAGTTTTCACAAAGCCAACATTTAATCATGCAACTGATAAATGATTTTAAGCTGAGACCTTCAAGAGCGAACATGAATCTCTTCTGGCTGATGGAGAAATCACTTGTTGGTGTTTCTCAAGACACGCTTTCAGCACAGTCAACACTTTTTTGTTTAGTCTGTTTTTGTTCCCTTAAAACAGGAAATATAAGCTGCAGCCTCAGTCTAAGAGTGGGGGCTCTATTTTCGTTCACGCCGGTGAGGCGGCGGAGGGCGGCGAGCCCCGCGCAGTTGTATTTTCGTCTGGCGGAGCCCGGCGTAAGGCGAGTTTGGTATTTTCGTGGACTGAGTCGCACGGAGGCGAGCCGAGATCCGCCAAGCTGGGCGTGGTGGTGTGGCAGGGGGAGGTGTTGACAGAATCAGCAGGCGCAGTGACATTTTCGTGCTCGCCAACGGCGTGTAAAGTGCGCTGAAAGCTCGCCGATTCAAACCTGGTCAGCTTTCAGCGCAAGGCGGAACGCAGCGGGTCTTGTAGTATTTTGGTAGACCGGCGGCGTATCGACATACGTCACTGATGCCTCACCGGCAGGTTTCCACAGTGTCAGGCACATTTCAGTGCAATAAATAATCATCATCAACTATTAATCTGAGTCAGCACATACATTTGGATCTATATAGATATATTCTGATCTATATCTGATCTGATGAGCACGTTTGGCACGCGTTTGGACACACAACCTGACCGAATCAACACAGCTGAAACCGCATCAAATTAAATTAAATATCTAGTAAATAAACACACATGATGAAGTTAACAAGATATGTAATTCGTCTCCCTCCTTTTCTTTCTTCCTCTTCCTCTTATTTCTCGCACAGCTCGACCTGGACACGTCTCCGTGTCCTCTGTCTGTCTTGCTGCTGCAGCGGCTGAACAGATGATTTGTTTCAGTGCTCAGATGCGTGATCTACTTTAAGCCAACATACGGATATTATAATATTCAGTTTTGTGGGCCAAATTTATTTTATATGCCAACATCTATGAAAGAAAGAGCCAGGCCACGGAGCGCGATGCGTCATTTACGCACAGATGGTTCCGATTTTAATGCCATTTTTGAGTTTATGTTGTGATCTGTGCGCTCAACCCACCTTTGTCACGTGAGGTTTGAATATGAGCAACTTTATGTGAGTGTCTTTATTTGTGGAAAAGGGTGTTTGTCTTACCAGTGGGTCCAACATTACGCACACTAAATCCATCTGTGCTCATATGAGAGAGTGTGGAGGACACTTGTTGAGGAGCTGCCCTCTGTCGCCATCTTGTGGCATTACTGTCTTAAGACATCTCTTGATCTCTTTGACTACTTCATGAAAATAGTAATACGCCTCGCCTGTGGCGGATTTAAAGGCAAGGAGAGGAGCCTATGTGATTGGTGAAAACAGGTCTCGGCTGTGTTAAATCAACTACACGCCCTTTCCTCTCCCCGTCTACGACTTATGGTGCTGGGAGGAGCTGAGTTAGGGAGGGGGGATACTTACGCCGGGCTGCGCGGCTCACCAAAATACCAAAATGTGCTTGGGAACGCCTTGTCAGCGCGGCGGATCTGACTGACGCTGCGCTTGCGGCACGTCTCCGGCGAGGCACCAAAATAGAGCCCTCTGTGTCCACTATGTAATATATAAAGCTGAACCTGCAACAAAACCAGAGCTGAATTGTTTTTATATGACAGTATGCATGTGTTTTATGTGTTTATTCTTATTTGCAGGTATTCTAAAGCCTCCTCAGTGTTCAGCGTTTCTGCATGAGCCGTACAAGCTTTGCACCTCATCCAGCTGAATGCTTACACGCTGAATAAATCAGATATAAAAGATATTCCTGAAAAGAAAACTAGTCCTTTAGAAATTTAACCTGCCAGCAGCTGTGCTTTGTCCCGGCGTGTCACTATGGTAACAACATAATTAGTGAATGTGCTCTATCACTGTCAGCAAGACTGGACTGAAATTAATTTCCAACATTGCACAAATGAGTTGATGAGCTTGAGATGGGCTGGATTCTGTTGGTTTGGACAGATAAAAGAAGCGCTGATAATGGAGACGATTTCTGTTCATCACTGGAGCGTCAGTCCTGAAGAAGATTCTAGAGAAAGAGCCGACACATCCTGAGCAAACTGCGCTTATTCTCCAGCAGACATTTTCCAGCCGCTCTCATCAAAAACCCCACAATAATCTTTTCAATCATGTGTGCCGTGTGTGTTGAATGAAGGGTGAGGATTACGGAAACCTTTGTTACAGCAGCTCGTAGCGTGGAATAACTGTTAAAATTCACAAAGCCTAAATTACTTTTTTCCATATCTGACGTGATGATCTACTTGCATCAACTTCTTGCCAGACAGAAAAGCGCTTTTGCAAAGTCTCAATCACTCCCCATTGTGATGATTTTCTGTGTAATCCAGCAATTTTCACAATCCGGATTATCTTATCATCTCCCCGCTGATAAACAGAAGCAAAATAAAGTCAGATTTCATTTATGCTATCCCGGCCAGCTATAATCACTTCTGCTCTGTTTATGAATCTGGGTTCATGCCCTACTTTTTCACGAAAGAGTTCGATAAACTTTTTTCTCCCGCTTGTGCCAAGCATAAAACATCTAGATGTTGACCAGTTTTCCCATGTTCAAAATTGATTTGACCTACTTTTCCAATCAAGATGTAGTGTAAAAACTCACAAATTTATGACTCTGTCTTTGAAAGCTGCCCTCAATATCGACGTCCATATGATGCCCGCTATAGGGGTTGTGTTTACTTTATACCTAAAGTGAGACAGTTTCCGTATTCACAACATTGTTAGTGTCTGATGTAGTTTTCTGAAATGCCGGGGTCTTTTGAATCTTTTTGAATCACAGGCAGGGTCTGGAGTTAGAGGAGCCAACTACAGCAAGAGCGCAGCTTGTACAACATGGTTTGTTTAGGGTTAGCCTTGCACAGGACTAAGAAGAGTTGTAGTGAGGGTCAATCCAGATCATTCACTCAGTCATCTGGTCTGTTTATTATCTATGTGGTGTTTTAGCACAAAAAAAGTATTGAAGTTGAGCATTTGAATGAGAATCAGTGGTCTTTTTGCCGTCAACGTTGGTGTTGCTAAGCAACAGTATTCTCATGCAGTTACTACATGTAAAGCTGTCGAAACATTGAACTGTATGTAATTTGTAGTTATAATGCTCATGTCAGAGTGTAAATATGACATGAGTAATAAAAAAAATCCTTTGTTTTCATCGCTGTTTTCATGTTGACTTCCATCCATAAAGTCAGCACAGACAGCAGAGTCCTGCTATCTCCCATAACCTTAACCTGATAAAGGATCAATTGCTGTAGTTTCACTTGCATAGTTTACTTTCCAGCTGTCTTTTAATGTTCCTCCCATCAGTATGCTGGTCGCCTTTTTGCTGTCTTTCCAGGACAAAAGTTTGAGTTTCTTCTCATTCTTGCAAAATCAGCTGAGAAATACTCTTCTGCAGTTTTCTGTGACTTGACAACCTGGAGAATCAAGTATCAATATACATGCACTTTGTTCACACACTTTAAGCCTTAGATGTGCTTAAATTGAAAATTTGAAAATAAAAACAATGTAAGAAAGTAATGGTATTTTTATTTAAATCAGTTATTAGATCATCAGTAATGTGTTTGCTCAATCACATCCTAAGTCCCTTTTTCATTTGTGTCACAAACCTTCTTTTAGTTCATTATCTCTACTAGTTTTAGCTTTTGAAAGATGTCATTGACGTTCACTATCTGTGTATTTCTATATGTTTTCATTTTGAGATTACAGCTAGGGGGATTGCAGGGTTTGAAAACTTGCACCTCTGAATGTCCTCTGATGAAAACGACTCCATTATTAACGCCAGCGAGCACATTTTGTGTCTCTCCTGCAATCAGGACATTGATTGCAGGACAATGGATGCGTTTGATTGAGACATAATCAGACTCTTCACTAATTCGACTTCAGAGGGAAATCAGCAGCATGCAGACACGAGGTAACAAATCACGCGGCCATCCACAGAGAGTGCTTTAAAGAGGTCAGAGAGCTTTGTTCGATAAGACACTGTGGACATAAAGTTCAGTTATACTGTGCACAATAACTGCTGACTGCATTATTATGCAACTAGTCTTTTAAATCTGAGGTGTGCAACTCTCCTCGCTTGATAATGATAACTTCTCTTTTTGGCATGAACATTTTTAGGAAGACACCTATCGGTCCACAAAGTGTGAAAGAATGAGTGGATTTTATCATCTACAGAACATCATATCATTCAAAGCTTCAGAGAATCTGGAGAAATCTCTGTACTAATGGGACAAGGACCAAAACTAAGACTGGATGGTCCTGATCTTCAGGCCCTCAGGCAGTACTGCATTAAAAACAGACAGGACTCTGGAGTGGAAATCACTGCATGGACTCTAGATCCTTGTAGAAAACCATTGCTGGTGAACACAGTTCATCACAGCATCCGCAAAGGCAGGTTAAAGCTCCGCAAAGAGGTCTTGATGCACATACAGACACCAGCTGAACAGAGAGAGGAGCTCAGAGATGGAGGATGGTAAGGCTGCAGAAGAAGTCAAACTGTATTAACCCTAATATAGGTGACTCTGATTAACAACGTCTGCCCCCCTCACCGGACTCATTTATTTTCTCTTTGATATTTAGGCTAATTGGGATCTGATGAGTGTAAAAACAAATTATCTTTTTACATGATGTAGTTTCTGAGAAAAATTTATGTCCACATATGAGGACATTTGTTTTAACGACTTTTCCCTGAGCATCCTTTTGCTCTGCGTTCTCCAAGTGTACCACTTCTGGCAGATGTGCATTAGCCTTCCTGCGGACTAAGATGTGGGGCACTGCCTACACTGGACGCTTTTTCCCTTGGACTGAAACGTCTGGGTCATCTTCCTGCTCTGAAAAGTCAGAGTTGTCTTGTCATGCTGAGCCAAGAAGGTCATGGCCACTTCCATACAGAATTCAAGGAGCTGCATAATGTTCTTCTTTGGTGTGCCATTCACAGTGAGGTCTTTGTGATACAGTAGCCAGCTGTTGGCTAAAGCCAGATCCGTAGAGTGCATCAGCATCCGCAGTGTCCATTTCTTTGTATGGCCACTCATGCGATAGTAGCTCATCATTCTATCAACAAGGTCAACTCCACCCATCTTGGAGTTGTATTCACGGATAACACATGGTCGAGAGATGGTCACATATCGTTTCAGTTTCCTGTCCCATCTCTGGCAGGTGTCTTCTGGCTTTGAGCATTAAACTGGTCAAACTAGGCTTCATCAGGTGTAAGCGAAGAAGCCTTCCATCGCATTCCACGCCCTTTCTTGGACCGTTCTATACAGCTGGGTCCTGGTGTTGTATCTTCAGAAACATAAGCCTCATCCTGCTGTGTCTGAGAGCGACGCCTGGGGGTGCATGATCTGGCAATGTCACGATCCGACCGATATCCTTCATATTCATCACAGAAACGTTTACGTCCTCTGATAGGCTGACAGGGCTGTGGAATGGGGTCCTCACACCCACTACTGTCTTCCTCACTGCTGCTTGGTGGAGGTTGATATTCAGCATCTCCCACAGGATCATCGGTATCTGATAAATCTTCCACCTCTGAGTTTTCTCCACCAATTAACCCCAGCATTTCCAATGCTTTTTCCAGAGAATAACACTCTAGAAAAAAAACATTTTGTTTCAAACCAAAACAAATCTACATAGATTTATTTATAAAACATATAAGGACTGTTAAAAGGACTGTTTTCTAATAAAATATCCCAAAATACTAATTCGAAACCAACTCCCTCTGTCCACATTTGTGGACATGTTCAACAAAACCAACAAAACTAAGTTCCTCTGTCCACATATGTGTACATCAAGTTTAGCAGCTTGATAAATTGTCACATTTTCTTACTTTTGCAAAATTCGACTTCCATAACACACATTGAACACTTCTATACATATCTGAGCAAGAATCAGCCATGAAATTTGTTTGAATTTTTTACCTGGTCGACGTTTGGATTGGTAGCGGCCATCTGAACGTCTGGGTGGGTTGTCGGCCATCTTGAATTTAACATGTGCCTTGTTATACTCTTCCTACACCACTAGGTGGCAGCTTAATGTCCTCGTAAGTGGATGCCAGGCCCTTGTAGACCAAAATTTAATATTGTGGTCTTGACAACCAAAAATGTGATGTCCACAAAAAACGCTGAAAGAATCTAGTTGTAGTCTTGTAAATAGGGACCCTGTAAGATTCACAGTCTTTGTAAATTCTCAGCCTGAGACAAAAAAACTCTAAACACTTGTCTGTAGATGTGAGCAGGTGTGAGCTGATAGTTTTCCAGGATTCTTTCCAAATCTTCTTAACCTCCTCTGATAGATAGCTGGTCAAACACAGTGCAATCTCAGCTGATCTCAGATCTGTGAGTCCTTAGGGTACAGGTGGCTGCAGAAATGCAAACAAGGTCAGGGTTTACTGAACCAAACATGGTGGAAATGCATCATAGAAAAGGAAGGAGGAAACATGTGTCAGAGACATAAAACTAAAGGTCTAACTGGATCTGCCCAGGCCTCACACACACAGGCAGCTCGGTTATCATCAGGCAGGTAGTCACAATCACTATCAGAGAGACACCACACACGGTTTGATGTTAATCAGCGAACACTGCCTGCATAATATATTTATTTAGTAAATATTCAAATTGGCCTTGAATCAAGGAGCACTCGGCAACTTCTAATCAGCCCACTGTGTCTGTAACCTCTAGAAATTAGCCTGCGCTAATTATCGCCTAAAAGCTTTAATTTGTTTTGCAACAATTGCTGAGCTGTGTGCATACAGAGCAGAGAGGTTCACAGGAGACCATCTCATTCACTTTTTTTTCCCATTTTTTGATTTTCCTGTTGTTGTGGATGAGGAGAAGGCTCCCTATGGACCCTTCTATCACTACCTACAAGCGCTCTCTCCGTCCAGCCACAAAATACAGCAACAGCTTGTAGGTAATTGATCAGGTAAGTGAACTGTAAAATATTCATTTTCTACTTCAACAGCCAGATAAATCTCTGGGGAGGGTTTGGGGAGGACGCCGGTGGAAATATTGCTTATGCACCACGAGGTAGGAGCTGCAGCCGCATGATGGCGAGGGCCAGATAAGAGGGGAAGCGTGGCCGGGTTGGGGTGTAGCTGCCAGTGATGGCCAGTCATGCAATTCCCTGCTTGGCTTTAGACCAAGAAGCCAAATCCCCGTCTACAGCCCGGGATTTCATGCTGCAGAGCCGAGGGGGGCCACTCTGCACCCTCCAGCGCAGACAGGCTAAAAACCTGAATCCTGCACCAGTCTGCCTGACCTGTTTTTGTGTACTGCTGCATCACACACACAAACACACACACACACACTGGAGACAGCACCACTTCAATTCGCTGATTGTGTTTGTGTGTGTGATTGACACTTAAGCAGAGGGAAAACCAGCAATTTCCAAGGCTCTCTTTTTATTTGTCAATGGATTTTATCAATGAGGCAGCCAGTGAAACAGATGAGAAACAAATCCATGCCCCCCCACCCCCTACCCCCCACCCCTCCAGGCTGCAATGATAAAAAGGTCACAGTGTCAGAAAAGAAAGGTTATTTAAAAAGTGTTTTTCTTAGACTTTGATTGATCCACAGTGATGAATTCATATTTAATCTACATGAATCTATATATGCTAATGAGTCGAATCAACAGAAAAGGTTCAGAGCCTTTAGTTCTGACCTTTTACTGCATGTGTGTGTGTGATGTCACACCTCCTTCTGCACACTCATATTCAGATTTTAGTTAATTTATGAGTGCAATTTTTAAACAATCTTTGGCAGCAGCTACCTTTCATAGAGTGTGCAGAGAAATGTCCATACTGCCAAACTGGGGCTGACAACGGTTACGGGCGAAATCCACAGGATCCGGAATGGCTTCGCTCCGCTTTGGCAAGGCAGGTGGATCAAATATGCAAGCATTATAATCAATGTGTGTTATTCTACAGAATCCGTCCGCCGTCTGGCTCCACTGCGGGTCGGCTCCGCTGCGGATCAGGCTTCTATTTTTGCCGGACGCCGCAGCACTGCGCATCAATTCAGTGCAGCCCAGCATGAGCAGCAGCAGAAGTTGTACGTGGCCACAGGGTAAATTATCCTGTAAATTTTCAAAATAAAAGAAAGTCAATATGTTGAACTGTTCTTCGCTTGATAATAGGAGAGGCCAGGGTTGTGGGATGAGGGTGTTTATATACACTGCCATTTATATACACCGATTGGTGGATCTCATTCAGTGTCTCATGGGGAAACACGCAAGATCTTGTGAGATCTCGTCCAGTCTCACGAGATATATTGATAATCTTGCAAGCGCTTCTCCTCCGATGGCGGAGGCGGATGGGATCCGGTGGGCGATGTATGCTTGCATACTTGATCTGCCTGCCGGTCCGGGGCGGAGCAGAGCCGTTCCAGATCCAGTGGGATTCCCAGGTTAGAATCTACTCCCATGATGCCGTCAGATGAAAGTTTTGCTAAATTTCATAACTCCATTCAATTTACATGTTGAAAAACGTATATCATATGGCTGTTTATTTATTCTGTGCATTTATTCATATCATAAATCAGGGGAGCTCCATAAAAGGCTGATAAGACCACTGTCTGCACAAGTCAATCAAATAATATCTGTATCCAAGCAATGACTTTTTAAAGGAAGGCTTTTATATTTCAGCAAATCACATTCTGATAACAGGGATTACAACAGCATGGCTCTGTAGGAGAAGAGTCCTCCTGCTCTTCTCCTTGTTACTTAATTAACAAGTAAAAAAAAAAAAAACAGAAAAATACAATGAAGGATATCCTGAACTGTTGAGCAGTAAATCATATCTTAAGTAGGGGGCAGGTCTGGGTGGACTGGCCCCAGCTCTCGCTCTCTCACACACAAACACACTCTTTCCTCTGTCTGTCTGTGTCTGTGTGTGGTGTGCTGCTAAACACTTCATATTCTGCTAAAAGAGGACAGAAACCAACTCATACTGCTGTAGCTGAGCTGTGTGTTTGTAATTAAGTAGTTAGAAATCAAAGCAATACGCGGAATGATTAATATTTAATAACATGGAGTTTTTATGGCTGGGTTAATTGAATACCTTATCTTTATTATGCAGATGCTTCATAAATATGAAATATTACACATTACAGATAGCTGCTCTTGAAAACCTCACTGAAGCATTTAGAAATATAATTAAGCTTAGCAAAAATAAACGGAGGACTTTCCCTCTCTGGAAGCTTTATCTCCAATGAACCTACATCAACAAAATAATAAACAGCTCTGTGGACTCAGACTGAAACTTCCTCTGTTCCCCGACCTACAAAACAAAAACTTACTCTGTTATTATGTCTCCTAAAAAGCAGGACTCTGTCTTTATTCTGTAAAGATCAATGTAAGCTCTTGCAGAGGGTTGATTAATCGTGGGATTACGTCTGAGCTCAGCCGTGGAATATTTCAATATACAGTGTAATCTTGTCATTGTTTGCTGCTCTGCGGTCAGAGCAGGCACACTGGATTTGAGGACTCCATGATGATCGTCTGCAGTGGATTACTTTGAGCCACGCACAGTATCAAAGCTCAGAGACACAAATAATACAGTACCTGACACGCAACTGTTGATCACATGTTGGATCAAACTTTTTCAGAAGCATGGTGTTCTTTCTTTTGCTGTTTTCTCAAACACAATCCCACAGGATTGCAGGAAACTAACTGAAGCATGTAGAGAAATCTTTAAACATGTACAAAATGAACCAAAATACTTAGAGATTAGATGTTAAAATTGAGACTGCGCATAAATGAAGACCAGAACTTTGCAAATTATATCTAAAAAATCTGATAAAAAGTGCAAAGTGTAGGGTTATGCAATGTAAAAACCCAAACCGACCAATGTTTAACCAAAATAAGTCACACCGGTCAGAAAATTTAAGATTAAAGGCCTGAATTGATGGTTAAGAGTTCAAAGTTTTCCAGGTAAGTTTCTGCTTCCTCCTTTGCATGTTGAGTGTGATAAGTTAGGTTTCAGTCTTTGCAGTGTGGAGATGAAATTTGGCAGATCTTTATGTCAAATGTTCTCATATACGCAGGCTTGTTTGTGTGTTCCTGTGTTTGTTATCTTTGTGCACATGAAACCTGTGCAAACATGACCTCAAAAATCACCCTCTACTTGAAAAGTTTATGAAGAATGCACCTCAACTGCACTGTAATCACCTTTGGGAATGTCAGAGCAGAAGTGATTTTTAAACAGACAACACGTAAAGTTTTGATCACTGAGGAGGAGAACTTTCAATAAAGATCTGAAACTATCACAGGAGGGTAAAAAAACTCCACTCAGAGTCAAACTAATGAAATTTCTGAGGTGGTTTAGAGATCCACAGCAGTTCTGTAAGCAGGTTTGACACTGTTAGAATGAATCTGTTCATAACACACAGCTGTGATTTTCTGCTTGGTCTAAAGATCAGACTTGAGGTGAGGTTTCAGGATATCTGGTCTCTAATATAATATGAATATGAATAAAACAGCAGAGAGTGGATCAACAAGTCCAGTGAGTCCTCACTAAGTTCCCTAGTTTAAAGCATCCATGTTTGGGCAGTTGGCCATATCACCAGAAGAAACTCCAATCCTGTTTTCTTCAGCTCCTGCAGGCCAGTGATCAGAGGAGAGGATGCCCCCCCTGGAGGGACAAGGAGGTGGTCTTCCCACTCATTTCCCCCCTCTCTAACCTGCAGCACAGCGGCCTGTGGTGGGATTTTGACCATGCTACGCTGTACTGATGCATAAACTGACATGTTTGGAGGCTGCTGCAAAGAGCCTTATGGGAGTAGGATCAAAGTACAGAGACCCGGGATTTTATTATCTACGGCAAAACCATAAAGTCCTCCTGTCAGCGGTAAGGAGGAGCGATTGAGAAGTTTCCAGAAAACTAAGAGTCAGCTGGAACTGAAGTCAGACTGCTGCTCGATGAACAAAAACTGTAAAATCCTAAACACAGTCAAAATGTAATTCAGACACCTAGTGTTTAA